AACAAATTTACGGACACATCTGTGGAGACTTTGGTTTCCTCCCTCAGTCCAGAAACAACGCAGGACAAGGTCAATAGTTCAGTCTGAACTGACCAGAGTGTGAGTGTGAACAGTTTGTCTATATGTTGCAAAAGGACTAGTGAAATGTGTAGGCTGTACCCCGCCCTCTCCCCATGGCTGATGGGATTGGCTTCAGCGCCCCCATGTGACCCTGAAAAAAACAAAACAAATCAAGGCTATGAAAAAATAAAACAAAAAACATGGTGATGCTGACATCATTTTAAAGTCAATTTGTGGTAAGTTATATTATCCAAATAATACAACTTCCCACATTTAATTCAAGGCAAGTGAGACTATTAACATGATATGTAAAAGTATAACATTTACGCCCCACCCTTGTCTGAAACGTTTTATCCATAAATGTGACAAATGATCATCTCATTTGATAAACAAACCTTGCCACAGACTCCTGAGTAAAACCTGCAGTTTAATTTACTGGGTTTCAGATCCCTGGACAGAAGTGACCCCTCTACAGTATGCTGTATGTGATGTATTACTCTTTATACCTCCAGCGCTAAAGAAACCTCCGGGGAGACCGCCGTGTTGACAGAGCAATTAACCTAATCCTTTTCTCCCCCAATATCTGTTGGTCTGTTGTACAGACTCCTGTTCATAGAACTATCTGGATTTGGCTGAGTGAGGAGCTGCAGGACGGTAAAGTTGTCAGGGTAGGAAATTAAAGATAGAAACAAAACATCGTCTCAAATTTTGATTTTCTTTGTTGTAAAAATAGAGCACGTGTAGCCACCCTGTCTACCCTCCAGGGGGTGCTAGGTACAGGATCACTGTTGTAAAGCTTGTCCTATAACTTGTCAACATGTTTTTCACACAAACACACACAAAAACACAAGTCATACATTTAGCTTCAGAGACGAGCGCCCATGTCGGGCAAAAATTTGAGGAAAAATCTTAAACGCACCCAAGAAAATACTTTTCACTGCTTTTTCTTTAAGGACTTTAACAAACTTTGAAAATACTTAAAAATTTAAGAGATGTCTGAGAACTGAGAAATTTCCAGACTATAAGTCACACTTTTTTACATCCTTTGGCTGGGTTTGCGACTAATATTCAGGTGCAACTTATATACTGTCAGCTGCTAGAGGGCCCTCTAGCTGGCTGGTGCGACATATATGGTTTTTTTTTCTTATTTATTATGCATTTTCTGGCTAGTGCGACTTATACTCTGGTGCGACTTAGAGTCCGGAAGTACTGCAGATTTATGTGAGTAATACTTCATTTACTGACAAGAAGAAAAATATCCTACAACGCTGACACCGTCCATTACTTTTGTGCTGAACATGTTCTGCTACCAATCAAGAGTCCAAAAATATTTTACACTTTATCTTATACCACGACATGTCAATCATTTGTCAGTCCTGTTCTACTGCACTGGAATCATCACTTTACTGTAAGCCTAAAAATACAGTACGCCTGTGCGCATACACACACAGTTGCACACACACATATGCTGTTGTATAATTCTAAGCATACACACACTTGTGGTCTACCACACAGAGACAAATCCCTGTCTGCCACCACAGCAGTATGTAGCAGAGTATTTATCTTACAGCTGTAGTTAGCCCTGAAGTAGTACATTTCATCTGTACTACTTTCAGTCGTACTGAGACGTGGGAGTAGGAGCACGAGGTTGCTGCGCTGTGTTGTATCATATCTCTCACCAAGCACAGCAGCGAACTACTGTAACGTGATATGAATTATTGTGTTGGCGAAGGTGAGCGAGGCCTTGCATCAGCCTCGCAGGATGGCAGGGTGTATCAGATGGGTCATTTGTTGAACATACCTAGCATAATGGCGTTAAAAAAAGTAAAGTGACAGCAAATGTGCTGGGTTTGGAGGGATGGAAAATAAAAGGGGACTTTATGGCCTCTGAATAGACACAACAAGACTGTCACCGCAGAATCACAGAGTTCCACTGACCTCGAAACATTTATAAGTAGGAGTCGAGGATGTAAACAGGCCGTGGACGTCTCCTCTGAAACCACAGTGATGGCACAGTGAAAAATAAACAGATTAATTGAATTCCAAAGCAGGAGGAAAAAAATCCCTTTGATCTTTCCAAATGTGTGTTTTATTTTGTTTGGTTTTTTTTCTCACTACCATGGTGAAGTGATGGGAGTGAGAACCAAACACACAGACCATAGATTGCAAATAAGAAATATGAGTGAAAGTCAAAACATTCTACGACAGATTTTCAGTCGTGTCTGGAACATGTAGAGACACATCGCTCAACGGTTTTGAAAAATCTAATCATTTTATTGATTTTTTTTTTTGTTTGTTTTTGTTTGTTTGTTGAGCTTCGTTACATTTTTTATCAGACTTTTCCATTTTGAGCTTTGTTACATTTTTTATCAGACTTTTCCATTTCTTAAAAAAAGGGTTAGGAAGCCTCGCAAATACTGACAAAAATATTTGGATAAAACTTTGACGATGTGTTAGTCATCAAAATTGGACAACCTTTGAAAGTATGACATCTGTCTTAGAACTTTTTGACTTAGTGATTGACCACAAATCTGCCAACATTTCCAGAGGTCATTTGCTGATTTAATCAAGCAGAGCATTTCTGATTTTCCTTCCTTGGCTTCATTAGACAAAATACAATTTTTTCATATAATATTTTTTTGTGTGAAGGAAAATGTGAACAAACTGTTCTAATTGGTTTAGATGATACTCATGCTACCTTAAAATAAATCACTAGGGCCATACGTTGGCATAACCAAACACCTTTCCAAGTCATGCATGTAAATGTTTGTGACGTTCTGTATTATTTCTCATTTTTCTACTCTATTTGTCTGATTCACTGTCACATACTGTATGTGAGTTGTTTGCCTGTTAAAGCATCTTAAGAACAACTAAATTTTATATTTAAATTCAGGATTAAATTAAAAATTTAGATTCCAAAGAAACATGGCTGTTCTGTGGCATTAACACTGGAGGAGAGTGTGACTCTGTGGCCTGAGATTTAAAATTAGATATTCACTGGCATGATATTCATCATCATCCCTCTCCCCTCGTCTCTCCCTCGCCTCTCCCTCTCCATCTACATCTCTCTCCATCGCTCTATCACACAAACAGTGACATTTGCATACAGTAGTAGCCTAGCTCTGGTTCTCTCATACGGCTGCCTGTCTTGCAGCAATTACATGATGTGCAGTAATTGCCAGTCTCTGAAGCGGACTCTTCAGACATACTTCAAAGGGAGAGAAGCGCGTCCACGGACGCAATTAACAAGATCAACGGAGCCCAGATGAGCTGGCGGGCCCCGCGCTCCTCTCCCTATTGTTCTCGTTTTCACTCTCATTAGCGAGTGTGCGATGGGAAGGTGGGAGGGAGAGGGGAAAGGAAGAACACCTGCGTGTAAGCAGAGTGAGGATGTAGCGGTGGAGAGTGACGTGGTGGAGCCAACAGTAGCAGGGAAGGGACACTGGTGTTAAGGACGGACGGACGGAAAGGGAAGAGGGGGCTTTGCACAGTGTGTGTTCATACTTGTAATTGTTGTCATCTAAGGCCGGTTCTGGCAGCTGGCATGTTTTCAAAAACAAGTTCCTGACCAGGAAAACCTTACTTCCTGAGTACTTCCTGAACTTGGGCCTGCAGCTAGGGCCTTGCATTACTAGGAGCTAATAGCTGTCCTAATAACACTATTGACAACATACTAGTAATAGTGTTTTTGTACGTGCTGATGCTCATTGACACAAGCTGGAAAATGCTAACAGTCTTGATTATAAATAAAATAATATTTTTCTTCACAGTTAACACAGCCAAGTGAACAGAAAGTGAGCGGAGCTTAACACTAAGTCATTACAACTGAAAACACTGCCTCCAGCTTTCCAGCAAAACAACTTTTCGCACTATTTTGAGATTTTAAGTAACAAATTAACGGAACAGAAAACTGATCTGTATAATTTATTTATATTATCATCAGTATACTTCTGCCTTTTTCCTGCAATACCCACTTCCACAATAGATGGTGTAGAAAATGATAAAAGCATCTTAGCATTTTAGCCTTTTATGCATGACTTTTACATGTAAATTATCTTAGTTCACACAAACGCCTCATCTATCTACTCCTGAACCTTACCCCTGTTTAAATTTAGGACAATTGTGGCCCGTGAGTCAAAATGTTCGCCCACGCCTGCGTTAGCATATTTAGCACTGATGCGCATCTTCAGAGGGTTTTGTTAAATTGCTTGTTAACTCTTAGTCTTGGTCCTGTCCAAAAATTCTTGCCAACTGCTGAAACTGTTGACCCACCTTAGGAAACTAACCATGAGGACAACGAGACACTGAACTACAGTGGGAAAAGAATGAAAAAATAACCTGTATGAAATAAGTTAGGAAATACTAGATATGGATGAGACACAGGTTATTAGTTATTAATCAGCTTTACTAATGACTGAGAGTAGTGTCCCAACAGGTATAATTGCACATTTTTTATTGCGTTTGTGTATGTGTGCCGTGTGTGTGTGTGTGTGAAGTGAGTGATGCACCTGGGAGAGGAAATCACCACAGCAACAGGACGGCGGCTGTCAGAGCGCAGGAGAAGCTGCAGCTTTACTTTTCACGCTCTGCTCACTCAGGTTAATTCTGTGTAGGTTCTCAGTCATCCAGGTCATGGTTTCCTCAGGAGAATTAATCTAGACAACTGCACTTGCAGACTTTACTGGAAGATGTTTTTTCATCTGTAGAATAAAAGAAACAACATCTTCAGGAAAACTCACTCCACTTGTCTGGTTCCATTCAAGTTTGGTCAATCAACTTCTCTAGTGACACCTAGAGGACACCAGGTGCTAACAGACGAAGACAGATGGAAAGAAAGGCAGCTCTTTGGATAATGTCTTTTTTTCACTAATTTGATTTTTTAACTTAAACCAGCGAGGACTTTCATATTTCCCACATCTCCCTGGCAAAATTCATCACTGCTGCTGCTGCTTGACATCGCGGCAGATGATGCTAAGCGTCAGGGACAGGTAAAGTATTTGATGATACCATTCATCAAAAGCTCTGCAACATTTTCATCCTTCAGTCACCTGTCATACAGTCGACCAGCCTTGCTCCAGCAGCCCCCAGAAGATCTGAATATTGCATCTCCATGGTGGCATCAATTCAATTTCTAAAGCAATAAACCCTATATATATATATAGATTATATATATATGTGTGTGTGTATGTATGTATATGGTATACACTACAGTCCTGTCCACCAAAAGGGAAAACATTTCACTTTAGCTGTATTCTTTCAGAGTTTGGATTTCCTGCTGTCTAGACCACTTCTGTCTTCTCTCCCTTTTTTTATCTGAATGTAGCCTGGAAGGCTAGTAAAAGCCTGTTGGTTAGAGCTTTTAAGAGACTCTTTCATTTGTTACTCCTGAATGTTTAATGTTATGAGGCCCAGCGGTGCATAGGAAGACATCGAAATGTGGGGGGATGAATACTGAACTGTGGCACAAGCAGCAGCCAGTCAACTTTTATCATGTAGAAGCTGCATTAAAATACATTACCGCTATTCTGCCGCCAAGTACCTCTGAGATAAATGGACCAAAGAGACGGCAGGGAAGTAATCACAATAACCTGACGCCTTTCAGCAATTTCCATCCTTGCTCAGTGTGGATCAAAATCATCCAACACTCAAATATTCAGTGCGCAGGACCTTCAGTGCAAGGAGAAGGTGCGACCTCACACGTAAAAGACTTAACTGCTGTTTTCACATCGTAGCGTGCTGACATCTGTCATTCAAACATCCTGACATCCACCATGTTGTACATCCAGCCGGGCCTCACCCTGCGCAGACTGCACCCATCCCTGACAAAAACCACAAGAAAAGAATGGGAACCACAGACACAAACACTTTTAAGTCTTGTACATGCAATTGTTATTGTCGTTTGGCTTTTATAAGCTGGAGTAAAGAGCCGCTTGTGTGAAAACAAGGTATTAAAACCGTTGGATGTGTTTCTCGTCTTGGCAGCCGGCCTGTTGATGGTAAGAGACTCGGCTAGCTATAGTTGGCTGCCGGGCTGTGATTTGTTCAGCAAGGCGAGTGTTTTGGAACAAATTGTACCGTGCAGCAGAGAGTATAGAATCTGCAGAGTTATTCTGGCCGCTTTAGCAGCGCCGCTTCGTGAGCAAGAAAGAGAATCTTGGCCGATGCACGTTCACATTTTTGCCTGTGTTCACATAGACATGGTCACACTTGTGCAGGTGAGCACGCACACACACTCTCTCGCTCTTTCTCTCTGTCTCTCTCACACACACATATTTAGAGGACTGAGCCACTCTTGGCTGGTACCGATACGCGACATACAGCACAGTTTGGTAAATGTCTGTCTCTGCAGCTTAGCGAGAAAGAGAACACTGTGTGAATGTGTGTTTACATCTCAACTCTAATGCTGTGAACTTGGTTTCACAGCAGCCAGATGGACCATGTGAACATGCGCACCACCAAGACCAAAATACCTCCACCAACAGAACGGGACAGTACTTACTTAAGCAGTTCTGGTATACTAACTCTGCAATAAAAAATATTTAAATTTTTGCTATCCACTACTTTTATGATGTAGTACTTGTAATAGTTGATGTATCTATATTTTGGCGTGTATAATTTAAAGGAACATACTATATTGCACTTGAACTGCACCAGACTGACTGTTTTACTTGTGACTGGATACTTCAGCACATGTACATTATTTATTTATTTATTTGGGCAAAACTATGGCCTGCTATTAAGGGTCAAAATTTTTTTTATATAATAATACAATGCAAAAAAATTAGCCCTCGCCCCTAAGTTTTAGACCCCTAGTTTGGCCTGTGTTTAATTGTTGGGTATGAAATATATGGACGCAAAATATATTTTATAGTAAAACAATTACACACACATATACTTATACTGCAAACACAAAAACACAGGAAGTTTATTCAGTGTCTGCCAATGAGCCGTCGTAAATGTTGCACGCTGGACCTATAAATGCTGAAATTATGTAATTGACTGTCAGCACTTTATAATGTTTTAAAGGTCCAGACAGATGTAGAAAAACAAAACTTTGTAACCACATCCCATCTGAAAGTGTTTTTGTGTTTGTGTGTGTGTGTGTGTGCACGCCCAAGCACGTGTGTGTTTGTTTGCGAATGGGAGTGGCCACGACTGGTGAGGGTACCAGCAGACAGACAGACACAGAAACGCGCCTGGGCTTTAACAGGGCCTGTGTAATTATGGTCAACCACTCTCCCCACCACCACCTTTATTTATAGGGTTACAAACACACTGGGGCTTCAGAGTGCTTTTCCTTGTGCATTCCAGCGCATTGGGACTTTTTGGTGGGGGGTGTAAACAAATGATATTTTAAGTAGAGTGTCAGAGGGGGGTTGGGCTGCATGTTTGTATGTTGGAGTGAGTGTGAGATGTAGATGAGAGAAAAAAAATAGATTTATTTAAATTCTTATCCTATTTTAACTCTGGGATTTCTCAGATGCCACATGTGGAGGAAACCTCGTTGTTTTATGTTGACACCAAACGGCACTTCAGAAAAGATTCTCACAGGAAGTGTCACAGAGAGTCATTTACACTCACTGATCCAGACAAAACATGACACTGAGGTCTGGGCAGCAGAGGAAGACGGTCCCTGGCCACAAACCTCTGAGGGCAGAAGACCCTTCAACCTGTAGCTTCCAGGCAAGAGCCGCAGCTACCTGGAACAGCCTGGAACAGCCTGGACCAGCCTGGACCAGTATGCACCACCCCGGACCAGCCTGGACCAGCCTGGACAAGACCAGTATGCACCAGCCTGGACCAGCCTGGACCAGCCTTAGTCAGGTGTCATCTTGTGGCTGAAGCAGTGTGGAAATGAGCAGACGTCTGAGCTGATGTGAAGAGAAAAGACGTAACACGTGAAATGACCTGAACTGGTGAATGGCTACTTTGTCACCGAGTCGCTTGCACGCACCCACCAACCCCCACCCCCTCGTTCTCTTTCTCTGTATCCCTCTCTCTCTTTGTGCCACATCTGCAGCACAACTGAAGGAAATGTAAAAATGTCCAGGATATCCTGTTTTAATGAACGTCCAGGTTAAATGAAAGAGAGGAGGCGGGCTGAGGAGAGGGGAGGGGTGGGAGTGAAGTGGGGGGGGGTTGGCCGTTGGACTCCTGACACACTGATGATGGGGCTGTGGGCCACAGAAACACAGCAGTGGGTTTCTGAAAACTCTCCTTTTGTATGAGTGACTGATGTGGTGGGGAGGGCAAGGGGCTCATATTGACTGCAGGTGTGCAGTAAGTGACTGAAAGGGGGGGGCGGGGCCATGGGATGTGAACGGAGAAAATTAGGGGCTTTGAAGAAAATGAAGGACATCTGTGATTATGGTTCATATGTGTGCTGATGCTGAACGTGTCATTATCCATCCATCCATCCATCCATCCATCCATCCATCCACTATTTGATCATTGTTGAGCGTTGGTGACATTTGTTTTTGATCCGTTTTTTTTCATCACGATTTGAGCTAATTTAGGTGAAAAGCTGTTAGATTATTAATGATTTGCAACACTGTACCCCCCCAAAAATATATAAAAAGTATAATATATATATAAATATATATATATATATACACAAACAGTAGTCACTGACCTATTGACCTAAGACCTAGCTGCCTCCCTGTCGATCTACCAAGCAATCTAACTACCGTCCTACCAACCATCCTAATAACCTACCTACCTACCTACGTGAAGGGACCACGTCACGACCAGCCCTCTAGCACCACCTAGCTAGCACCCCAGTCCTGATTCCTGACGCTTTCCACTTGCTGCGTATGGTTTCTTCTCTGAGGCCTTGACAGAACAGCTGAGGCAGCAGTAAGAAATCCTCCTCTGGATTTAAACCACGCTAACATGTATTGATGGAGCAGAGCTGTCTGGGTTGGACTGGCCATAAAGAGGAGTGCAGTTTTCTATGAAACCCAGATGGTTGACGAACAGGGAATCGAACCAGCCAGAGATAAGTTTAAACCAATCAGGGAAAAGAAAAATCATCCTACAATAACCACTCAGTGCTGCAGGGGTAATTTGGGGAGAGGATAGAGAGACAGAAAGTGAGACAGAGCAGGGAGAGACTAAAACTAGCAGATAACTGTCAGGAGGCAGCCTGTCTCCTTCTATGTTAGGTGTTTGTGCTGACAAACACACAAAAAGGAGACGACAGATAAATCAGCGCGTGCAAATATAAAACCCATCTTTTTGCCTTTCTTTCGCTCAGCCGCTCTACAAACACGCTAACTCCCCGAACCGACTCTCGGCGTTCGTACGGGACATGAGCACCGCACATGTGCTTTGTTGTAGTCATTTGGCAAACAGCAGTTGACGATGCACCTTCAAACTAAAGCATCAGTGACAATATCTCACGCCCATCCATCACTCGCCGCTGGCGCGCACAACTGGGAACAGATTCACACTCTGTCCAAGGCTGCCCTTAACGGCAGCAGGATGAGAAAATACCTGCAGCGGGGTCAGCGGTCAGGTCAGGGCTCTACTGGCATCTTGGTCCTACCTGTGTGTGAGTGAGTAAGCCTGGGGGGACGTGACATTGATGGTGCCCAGGGTCAATATTGACTGTCAACCATCCGTGAGGTTGGCACCACCTCGCTTGACTTTACAGACTTCATAGCGGTTTAATAGGCGGGAGAAAAGGACAGGAGGATCGTGGAGACACAGACTTTACTTTTTATGCACATATCTCTGCCTCTCTCTCTTTCTCACTTTCACACACACACACATATACACACACGGAGACGCACATGTCGCCTTCTGCCACTAGTGGAAGACAGGCAGGTATGGGGAGCTTAACAGTAGACTGAGTGGGAGTTGCAGAGGTTCGGGTAGGGTGACAGAAAAGGTGACAGAGAGAGGCTGAGAGTGAAAGAGGAGAGGGTTTTGATATGGGGGTGGGTGGGTGGCTGGGTGGGTTAGCGGTTGTGGGGGTAGTTGCAGTGAAATGTAAGAAGGCATTAAAACAGCCTTACAGAGGCCTCTTAAATATGTTTAACGCGCTCATGGTCAGAACAGTCCGCCTGTCGACTCGGCTTTTGTGAAAACCATTCAGACCTGACTCGGCAGGGTTTTTTTTCTCTTTTACTCTCACATAAAGATTTGTGCAAATAAACAAAACTGAACCCTAATCCCTAACATCCAGAAAAACCTCGACTCAGATTTGGTTGCATCTTATACTGTGTTCTGAACCTTGTCTTAATCAGAGGCTCAGGAATGATGCATTCAGGGCTGGGCTTTTGTCTCCATGATGACTTCACACATTTTTCTTTCCCCTTATTCATCCCACAACGGGGATTCACAGCGTGAGTCTTTGCAACCCACACAAACTGCCACAGGTGGCGCCATTTAGTATGTGATTCATCTGGGGCTTGAACACAGGACCTTCTGTGTGTAAGGCAGATGTCTAAGGCGGGTGTGATGACTCAAGTCCAAGTTAGTGTAATAGTACTGCTCTAATTTTAATAGGGGGGCTCGAACACAGGACCTTCTGTGTTTAAGGCAGATGTCTAAGGCGGTGATGACTCAAGTGCAAGTTAATGTAATAGTACTGCTCTAATTTTAATACTATACAATACTACAATACTTTGTATTTTTTCCTGTCACCCACAGCTAAAATTGGCCATATTTGGCCAACGACAGTAGCATATGAACACAGGTGGACACCACCACAGAACAGTGTCACTCATGGGGAACTATGCTATGGCTACACCGGGACGCAACCGTTTGGCCTTTAAACATGAACGTTGTGTAAGCAGACACAAGGATTTAAAGTAAAAACGGACGAGTCGCTGACAGCTTTTTATAAATGTTTCACGTCTGGGCCGACATGTCGAGGTCAGACTAAACAAGTGGTCTGGCCGTTGCCCCCGTGGGAAACCGCTTCTCACTACATGACAGGACACAGATGAAGCATACGAAGATGAAATAAATGCTACCAGATTTTGGCGCTCGGGAACATGTTGGTGAAGACAGCAGGGTCAGAATCTGGTTTTTACAACCAGAGAAAACACTCCTGTCATTGTCCTCATGTGTAATTCATGCCTTCTGACCGTGGATAAAAGTTGTCTGTTCCGAAAAAGCGTGGCTGAGCAGAAGTGTGAGTAAACGGAGGAGGGAGATGGGAGAGTCGTGGCCGTCCTGGAGAGACTCATCCTTTGTTCTGTTTCACGAATCTGTCTTTTCCCCCCGTTCCCCTGCTCATTCTTTTGATCCACAGTTGGATCATCCTCTTGATGATTCACTAACAGCCAAAGAAATTAAATATATCAGATTGACGACCCTCTCGCCGCCCCCCAACACCCTCCTCTCTACGTCCCCCCCTCTCTCTCCACTCTTCACCATCACCACCCCCCCTCGCCTCATCCCCTGCGTGGCGTCTCCTCCCTGAGGCCTCCATTTCTTCAATAGATAAGCAGCGGATCTGCTGCTTTATCGCTTCATTCTCCATCTCTATCCTGTTCCTGTCATTCCCCCTTTCCCTCGTTTCTGTTTTTCTTTTGCGCTGCATTTAATCCCAGCCTGGCGGTGGAGGCATGTCAGAGATGTAATTCCATTGTTCAACATGCACTTCCAAGCCCCCACCCCAGCTTAAACTCAGTTCCTTGCGGGGGCCACATGCATATTCATCAGCTATCAAAAACAAAAGGCAGATCACACTGTTTGTCATGTTCCGAAACCAATGCTATTCAATCTTTTCCTTTTTTTTTTTTTTGGTGCTTCTGAAGGATTAGCGCGTGTTTAACATCTCAGACACACAAATCCTAAGTACCAACATGTAGACATTCAATCAGAAGAAAAAAGTCTGGAGTTTTCTCAGCGCCCAGGCAGCGCATCTAACACTTCCCCCGAAGATACTGAGAAGAATGAGTAGCAGAGACACTCAGTGGTGGAATATGACAAAAAACTTTACCATATTTGACAGTGACGTACAAACTGCAGTACCAGATAAGTCGTACGCTTTCTTTAAACTCATTCAAAACTCATTGCTAAATTTTGATGATGAACTTATGAACATATAAAAAAGAAAATGTTTTAGGGCTTCACTTATTGGGTATGAATGTGACTGTGGATATGGATATTTAAATTGACACATGGCCCCATTGATGTTGTGTTTGAACTGTTCCTTACCTGATGGTTGTTACTGGGTTATGATGGGTTAGGATAGCGCCCCGTCCAGGTCTCCTCAACACCCTGAAAAGATAGGATAGCGCCCCCTCCAGGTCTCCTCAACACCCTGAAAAGAATTAAGAGATAGAAGAGTGAAGGAATAATCATGGCTGATTAAAAAAGGTCAAAGTGCAGAATAAGTACCTTCTTTTCTGGAAATGGCATTTGTATTTGACATGTTTGTTACACACCAGGACCGTCTCAGCCGTGTGAGGCTGTAATTCATCAGGTAGAGTACAGTATTCACCCAGCACGTCCTGCTGCTGCTTCAGTGTCCTGGTGATGTAGAGATGCACAGACACATGGTTCCAAGTTCCAGGCTCCAAGGCCAGACAGATGTAAACACAGGCTGACCACACGGGGGGAGAGGAAGGGGAGAGCAGGGGGGCACAGTGCCAGGTCGCCCTCACCTCACACACACCAGGAGGCCAAGGTGTGGGGCCAGAGGGGAGACAGTACTGAAGCCTTAGGAGAACACAGAAAGAAGAGTTTGTGTGTTTGTTTGTGTGTGTGTGTTGGCACATGATTCTGTTACAAAAAGAGAAAAAAAAGCACCGGCATGAAGGGTCCCTCGTCTAAACACATAAACACAATAGACTATTATTCTTCTTATTTCTCATTGTTTTCATAATTGCGGTTAATGCCACCGGGGGCAGAAGTGCACTGGGGTGAAATCGGCGTTGATTTTTTTTCTTTCTCTTCTACACCATGGTGACAGATGCGGCGGGCTTGTCAGTGCCAGTTTGATTTATGCATCAGGACAAATATGGGTCAAACTGAAACATCCAGCACCGTGGATCCTTCCCGCGTGTTTTTTCTTTTTCATTGCCTTTGCACTTTATTCTTTTCAAAGCTCAGCTCAGCGGGACTGTGTGTCTCTGTGGCACCACAGCCAGCTTTGTGTGTGTGTGCGTGTGTATGAAAGTGTACTTTTGTGTGATGAGACGTGACAAGCGCCTTCATCCTCCCCTTAGACGTCGTATTCCACAACGCTCCGCCACTCGCTCGGTGTGGTGTGCTTTTTCATCTTTCTTCTTCTTCTCTCCTTCCTTCCTTTTTCTTCTCCTCCCTCCCTCTCCTTGCTCTCACAGGTGGAAGAAAGGTGTGCGAAGGAATGAAAGGGACAAGATTTTAATTAGAGGAGGAGGAGGTGAAGGAGAAGGAGGCTCAGACAAAAGCAAGGGGGGGGGGGATAACGAAGGCAAGCAACGATAACACATGTAAAACACAAAGCCTTAATCTTAGAGAGCATTTGGAGGGATCTCTCATTTCTCTCCCTCCACAGTGTAGCGAGGCAGGGGGTTGTGTGTACGGGAACGCCAGGGAATAGGATGTGATTACGAGCACAGAGTTGACAGACAGACACAGGGGTGTCTCTGTGTGTGTGAGTGTGTGTGTCCTGAGGTCTGACATTAAATATGCTTCTTTCCACCAACCCCCATTTTTACAATTGTTTACTCATTTGAAGAAAAGTACAACAAAGTACCAGTTCATTCAAGTTCCTGCATTCTAATTTAACGCTGGTGAAGGAGTTCCACACACAGTCAAAGTTCCTCTGCAGCGTCTGTGGTAACCAACCAGACGAAAGACTAGTTTAAAGGTTGTCTACTTGGTTCAATGGAAGGAAAAAAAAAAAACATGCAGCTTTGTAAATGTTTGTAAAAGCTTAATATTATATCAATTTGTAATAAAACATCAGTGGTATTTGTTTCTGATTATGTCTCTTTATCTGTAGCCTTTTGAGTTCCTTTCTAAATGTAAATCTTTTTTTCAAAGGCCAAGAACAAAAAAACAAAATGTATATGCTATAACATATGTAGTATTAGCATACACCGCTAAAATATATCTATAAAGACCCTTTATAATGGTAGGCTAACCCTAGTACATATTTGATAAGATCTTGCGGCCCAAATATAATTACACTGCGGGCCAGATCTGGCCCCCGGGCCAGAGTTTGACACGTGTGATCTAAGGGAACGTCAGAGTGTAAATATAAGCTACAGATGGTGATTCATCTGCCCGTCTGTGAGGTTGTGTTAATTTTACATTAAGCTCAGTTAGCCAATACACCCAGATGTGTTAATGTCTTCACTCCAGCGTTCTCTCTCCTCGCTCAGAAGCATCTGCTCGCTGCCGCGCCACTCTCTTTCGCCTTCCCTCCGGTGATCCTCGCTTGGCGTGTGCATCCTGCCTATTTACTTATTTGTGTCTTCTAAGTTTCTCTGACATGCCGCTGCACCTCCAGGGTGTTTGGGTGATATTATAAGGCTTGGGGACTTTGGTTTTCTTTTCTTTTTTTTTCTTCCACTGCTGTGAAACTCCATTCAGATGATGAAAGTGTGGTGCAGCTATGTCTGCAGCTCACGGTGGGATGCTGGTGTCTTTGTGGCTCTGCGTGAGGATGAGGCGAATCCTCCCTGATGAAAGACCCTGCAAATGTGTCTCTGCTGCCCCGGCCCATACATCTTCTCACTGAGATGCCTTCCTGATTGTCATGTGCCTATGCATGTGTGGATGCACGTGTGAGTGTGTGACTGTGTATGTGTGTGTGTGTTGGAGTGATCGTGATCTGCTCTGACTGGCTCACAGATAGACTGACACATGGACTGGCAGGCAGGTCTCATTCTGACAAAATTTTGCACAGACCTCGCCGTGAAGTTTGGATCCTGTCACTCGCAGGGAGACTGAAAATAGCAGTGAGAGCAGCAAGATAACCTGGCAAAGCACATTTCCACAGAGTCCTCCCTGAGGTGATGCAAGACTTTAGACAAATGTCTTGTTTGTTCACCACTGAATGGCCATCTTTCAACGGTGTGGCATGCCAGCACAAAACACACACAGGCGCACGCACACACACACAGATATGCACAGAGGAGCAGATCATTTTTCAGCTGCATGAAGTAGGTAGTGAGAATATTACAAACCAAAATCAAAACACATTGCCAAGGGCCAGAGGCTGGACATCGAGACAGGAGGCAGCTGTGTAATTGAATTAGAGTCTGACAGAGAGAGAGAGAGAGAGAGAAAGAGAGAGAGAGATATACATAGATAGATGGAGAGATAGTAGGGATGTGCATTGGCAAGAATCTGATGATACAATACATATCACGATACAGGTGCAATGAGCATGCCTACCTTGGACAGGTAGTCCTGGGTTCAAATCTCATCCTTGCAGGTGGCAGCCTGTTGCAGCAGATCTGCTGTAAACACAAGAAATTCACATTTGTGGGATCAATAAGGTTCAAATTGTTATACGATAAACTGTAGGCACAACGATGTTTTGAGTTCTTTTAAACTATTTAATAGTAGGAACACTGTCAGCGTAGCAAACACAACGCTGCAACATGCCTAACGTCACGATACTATAATTCAAACAGAGGAATCTAATGTACATTTGTAACTGCTGGAGAAGAAATAAAAGCAAAATATAATGAATCGATACCATGACTATTTGACAGTAAATTGTTTATAAAACATTTGATACATCGCTGCAAAATATCAAGATGGTATCGTGTAACGAAGTATCACAATACCATGATATTTCAGTTTCTGTGTTGATACTGTTCTACACCACTGATAGATGGATTTATAGATAGATAGATACTGTGTGTATATATAGAGAGAGGGAAAGAAAGAGAAAGAGATACTGATTGATACAGTACACTGTGTGAGCATGCATCTGAGTGTGTGTGCGTGCGTGCTTATGCAGTTGACAAAATAACAGCAATGAGCCTTATCCTCCATTAATAACAGCCACTAATCCCCTGATGTGATTACCTCTCTCTCTCTCTCTCACCCTTCTCCTCCTCCCCCCCTCCCTCCATCCTTCCACACTCTCGCCAACAATCAGCAGCGCCAGCCACTTGTCTACCAGGGTAGAACTCCACTGATCCAAGACTTGTACTATGTTCCACTGCCAGGACCATGGAGGACATCCAAACTGATGTCTGTCCTTATGAAAATTGCCCCTGGGCAGGTGAAATAAAAAAACAAAACAACAAAAACAAAAGGCATTGGTTCTTAGCCCTGACAAGGAATCATGTTAAACAGATTAAAAGCCATGCCTGCGTTCAAAGCCCTGACACCTAATGCTGCCTGAATGAGAGGTGACGTGTGATATGAATCGTACATGATGGGGTTTTGGATGTTCAAACATGTATGGAAATATCTGCGAGCGTAAAGGATTATGTGTGCGCAAAGGGAGGCAACAAGCATGTCAGTGAAGCTATTTCTGTCCTCAATGACTGGCTGCCAAATACAGTTTTTTTCCGCATTTGATAAACTGGCTACATCAATATAAAGTCTACTGTGTTTCTATGGAAACTTAGACCTCAGAGAAGGTTGGAATTTGCCACTTTGTCCAAGATCTGCTTACTTGTAACATACCATACACACAGCGTTGACTTGACGGTGGAACTGCATGCCCTTGTATTTTGGCTGACATTTTTTCACACAACACGAACGGCTCTCGGAGATTTGTAACTCACGATGGCGCCACACAGTGGGGTAGTGTTTCATAATGCTGCCTTTGCAGAAGTGATGCCAGCGTTTGACTTTTTAAATTTTTTTTGGACATTGCCTGGTCTGTGTCACATCTCTAGAGGAGTGTTTCCAAAACGTTTGAGCCATAGCACATGTATATCATCAGGAAAAACCACCAATCAAAATCTCACAAAAAGTATATGTAATAAAATATAATAAAATCTAGTTTAAATGACCTCATAATTGACTAAAATATTGGCCTGTTTAGTTTAAGAAAATACTGATATACTGACAGGAATTGAAGAAAGACACAGAAATCTTCTTCAATTGCTCTGCTTATTTTTAGTTTTCTGCTGCAGAAGAGTATTTAATTGTTCTGCCTTTCATGCTTTGACCAGCAAAGAAAAACTATATGCAATTAATAAATAATAGTTTTCAGCCTAATTAAGTGAAATTGGGTAATCACAATTTCCACAATTTTCCAATGATCTCTCGCAGGATATTTCATACATAAGACTGAGGGGTTTTTTTTCCTGGTTGATTTTTTACCCTGGCTGAATGGGGAAGGAAATTTTCCAATTATCTCTCGCAGGATATTTCACACATAAGACTGAGGGTTTTTTTTTTTCCTGTTTGTTTTTTTACCCTGGCTGAATGGGGAAGGATTCTTAGATACACAGAATCCAAAGATATGTAGGTTAAGAATTAGGTTACGGGAGATTTAAATTTATGTAGAACCAAGGTCTGGTCAGGAGGTCAGTCTTGGACCAGATGGAGGTTTCTCTGATTTGACTTTTAAATGGTTAATGACATTATTAATCACCCTTGAACCTAAAGTTTGTCATTTTTATTGTAAACATTCACTATTTCATATTTTGTTCTCTGACAAAACCCAGCGTAGTGCTTAAGATGAGGGCACGTGTATATTCAACTCCACTAGTGTGTGAAAAGGGGGACGTGTCGTTCTAAATAAACCAGGTAAAATCCAGTACCTTCTACGAGGTGTTTACACAGGGTTTAGTATTTGAGGAGCAGTTGACATTTGAGCGCTTTAATTCTGGGTATTGAGTCTCTAATTATTCGAGGCAAAGGCTGTTGATAGACAAAAACACACACATGCAGCAGTTGGTGCAGGTGCCTCAGAGCAGCAACAGTGCACTGGTTTGGTTTACTTGGTGACGTCTCCATAGTAACTGCTGTGTCTGACCTTCAACCACACGCACCGCCTTCCATCAGGCTCGGGTCGACTAATCTGGCGACACTGTGAATGAGAGCATTTTTCAGTTGCATTTTCACTCAACGGTTGATATCATTTTATTTTTATAAATTTTTGTTTTTCCAGCTCGCAGATACCTTCGACTCTTGAGTTGACAGCTACTTGCCTCGTGTTTGTCGGCCCTCTGAGGGTCTGACGGGAGAAAAATAAGTAATTAAATAAGTAAAATGATGAAGTAATCAAACAAATTATTTCCTCTTTCATCAACACATACCCGGTGATGGGCTCCCCTCCTCTGCGTCCCCTCTCCTTTTGTGTCCTACTTCCCTTCCAGTCCCATTACTTCTAGAACATTCTCCCTCTCATGTGTTCTGCTGTTCACAAGTTCACGAGGCGCTTTCCAAAAGGCCTAACATCTGGAAACTCCTTAGGTCTAGGAGCGTGCATCCGTTATGGGACGACAAGGCCTGGTGACCAGCCCCTCCTGCCGAGCTCAGGCTTTGGTGTGCGTATGGTACGTTCAGAGTCTGGGCTTCCGGAGGGCTGGTACCTTGATGTGGCCAGAACAGTGGTAATGATTTATTACACTACTAACTCTGTCCCCACTGTTAATATTACCATTATTATGACCACACACTCGCTCCTCATTCATCCGTTCCCCACCTGCAGACCAACTCTGAAGCCTTTAGCAGACACAGCTTACAAATCAGGGCAGGGTTAAAAGGAGGACCGATGCCTTTGTTCCCTTTGGTTTTAGAAAAAAATAATAATAATAAAAAATCCCAAAATGGACATAGTTATGTTGTGAGTGAGCTGACAGACTCGTTGGGCTGCTGACACATATTGTAAATAAACGGTGGGTCAGCAGGTTCAGCTGTTTCCATTTGTGTTCCTGGTCCTCGTTCTTGTTGTATCGACTACTGGTTCGTCGCCCTG